TTCCCCAGGTGCTGGGTCAGATCGAGGAGAAGCAGCAGTGCCCCATCCCTGTCCCCAGCTGACCCCTCTTTTCTCCCCAGGTGCTGTGTCAGATTGAGGAGAAGCAGCAGTGCCCCATCTCTGTCCCCTGGTGACCCCTTTTGTCCCCAGGTGCTGTGTCAGATCGAGGAGAAGCGGCAGTGCCCCATCCCTGTCCCCTCCGTGACCCCTCTTTTCTCCCCAGGTGCTGTGTCAGATCGAGGAGAAGCGGCAGTGCCCCATCCCTGTCCCCTCAGTGACCCCTCTTTTCTCCCCAGGTGCTGTGTCAGATCGAGGAGAAGCGGCAGCGCCTGCCGGCTCTGGCGGGCCGGGAGGGCGTCCCCTCGTCGGCCGGGGCCCTGCAGCGCGCGCTGGGCGCCTTCGAGCGGGACGTGGAGGCGCTGGTGGCGCAGGTGCGGCGGCTGCAGGAGGGGGCGGCGCAGCTGAGGACCCTCTACGCGGGCGACAACGCCGAGGCCATCGCGGGGCGCGAGCGGGAGGTGCTGCGCGCCTGGAAGGAGCTGCTGGCGGCGTGCGAGGAGTGCCGGCTGCGCGTGGCCGGCGTGGCCGACAAGATCCGCTTCGTGGGCGCCGCCCGCGACCTCCTGGCCTGGATGGACGGCGCGCTGCAGCAGATGGCGGCCGCGGACAGGCCCAGGTGGGCACGGGATGGGGGCTGGAGGGTCCTGAGGGCACCTGTGCTGGAGCATCCCATGGTCAATGTCCTGGTCCATCCCATGGTCCCTTGTCCTGGAGTGTCCCAAGGGAATCTGTCCTGGTCCATCCCATGGTCCCATGTCCTGGTCCATCCCATGGCCCCATGTCCTGGTCCATCCCAAGGGCACCTGTCCTGGTCCATCCCATGGCCCCATGTCCTGGTCCATCCCAAGGACCCCTGTCCTGGTCCATCCCATGGTCCCATGTCCTGGTCTGTCCCTGGAGCCAAGGAATCATGTCCTGGAGTATCCCAAGGATCCTCTATCCTGGTCCATCCCATGGTCCCTTGTCTTGGTCCATCCCAATGACTCCTGTACTGGTCCATCCCGTGGTCCCTTGTCCTGGAGCATCCCATTGACCTTGTCCTGGTCTGTCCTTGGAAACAAGGAACCATGTCCTGGAGCGTCCTTGGAGTCCAGGAAACATGTCCTGGTCCATCCCATGGTCCTTTGTCCTGGAGTGTCCCAAGGGAATCTGTCCTGGAGCATCCCATGGTCCCATGTCCTGGAGCGTCCCATGGTCCCTGTCCTGGTCCATCCCATGGTCCTTTGTCCTGGAGAGTCCCATGACCCCTGTCCTGGAGTGTCCCAATGACCCCGTCCTGATCTATCCCATGGTCCCTGTCCTGGTCCATCCCATGGTCCTGTGTCCTGGTCTGTCCCTGGAGCCAAGGAATTGTGTCCTGGTCCATCCCATGGTCCCTTGTCCTGGAGCATCCCAAGGACACCTGTCCTGGTCCATCCCATGGTCCTTTGTCCTGGAGTGTCCCAAGGGCACCTGTCCTGGTCCATCCCATGGTCCCTGTCCTGGAGCATCCCAAGGGCTCCTGTCATGGAGCGTCCCAAGGGAATCTGTCCTGGTCCATCCCATGGTCAGTGTCATGGAGCATCCCAATGACTCCTGTCCTGGAGTGTCCCGAGGGCACCTGTCCTGGAGCGTCCCAAGGGCACCTGTGCTAGTTCATCCCATGGTCAGTGTCACAGAACATCCCAATGACTTCTGTCCTGGAGTGTCCCAAGGGCACCTCTCCTGGTCCATCCCATGGTCAGTGTCCTGGTCCATCCCAATGACTCCTATCCTGGAGTGTCCCAAGGACCCCTGTCCTGGTCCATCCCATGGTCCTTTGTCCTGGAGCGTCCCAAGGGAATCTGTCCTGGTCCATCCCATGGTCACTGTCACGGAACATCCCAATGACTCCTGTCCTGGAGTGTCCCAAGGACCCCTGTCCTGGTCCATCCCATGGTCAGTGTCATGGAGCGTCCCAATGACTCCTGTCCTGGAGTGTCCCAAGGACCCTGTCCTGGTCCATCCCATGGTCAGTGTCATGGAACATCCCAATGACTCCTATCCTGGAACATCCCAAGGGAATCTGTCCTGGTCCATCCCATGGTCAGTGTCATGGAGCATCCCAATGACTCCTGTCCTGGAGTGTCCCAAGGGAATCTGTCCTGGTTCATCCCATGGTCCTTTGTCCTGGAGTGTCCCAAGGGCACCTGTGCTAGTTCATCCCATGGTCCCTTGTCCTGGAGCATCCCAAGGAATCTGTCCTGGTCCATCCCATGGTCAGTGTCCTGGTCCATCCCAATGACTTCTATCCTGGAGTGTCCCAAGGGCACCTGTGCTAGTTCATCCCATGGTCAGTGTCACAGAACATCCCAATGACTCCTGTCCTGGAGCATCCCAAGGACCCCTGTCCTGGTCCATCCCATGGTCCTTTGTCCTGGAGTGTCCCAAGGGAATCTGTCCTGGTCCATCCCATGGTCAGTGTCACGGAACATCCCACGGACCCCTGTCCTGGAACATCCCAAGGACCCCTGTCCTGGAACATCCCAAGGACCCCTGTCCTGGAGTGTCCCAAGGGAATCTGTCCTGGTCCATCCCATGGTCAGTGTCATGGAGCATCCCAGTGACTCCTATCCTGGAGTGTCCCAAGGGCACCTGTCCTGGTCCATCCCATGGTCCTTGTCCTGGTCCATCCCATGACCCCTGTCCTGGAACATCCCACGGACCCCTGTCCTGGAACATCCCAAGGACCCCTGTCCTGGAGTGTCCCAAGGGAATCTGTCCTGGTCCATCCCATGGTCAGTGTCATGGAGCATCCCAATGACTCCTATCCTGGAACATCCCAAGGGCACCTGTCCTGGTCCATCCCAAGGAACTTGTCCTGGTCCATCCCATGACCCCTGTCCTGCTCCATCCCATGGTTCCGTGTCCTGGAGCATCCCGAGGGCACCTGTCCTGGTCCATCCCATGGTCACTGTCACAGAACATCCCAATGACTCCTGTCCTGGAGCGTCCCAAGGGCACCTGTCCTGGAATGTCCCAAGGGAATCTGTCCTGGTCCATCCCATGGTCCCATGTCCTGGAGCATCCCAAGGGCCCTTGTCCTGGTCCATCTCAATGACCCCTGTCCTGGTCCATCCCATGGTCCCATGTCCTGGAGCATCCCACGGACCCCTGTCCTGGTCCATCCCATGGTCCTTTGTCCTGGTCCATCCCATGGTCCTGTGTCCTGGTCTGTCCCTGGAGCCAAGGAATCATGTCCTGCTCCATCACAAGGACCTTTATCCTGGTCCATCCTGTGGTTCTGTGTCCTGGTCCATCCCATGATCCCTGTCCTGGTCCACCCGAAGGTCCCGTGTCCTGCTCCATCCCTGGAGTCCCTCCAGGACCGTGTCCTGCTCCATCCCTGCTCCCAATGACCCCCCCAGTGTCCCCCCCATGGGACCCACCCGTGTCCTGCTCCATCCCTGGTCCCAATGACCACATCCTGCTCCATCCCTGGTCCCAGTGACCCCCCCAGTGACCCCCCCATGTCCCCCCTGTGTCCTGCTCCATCCCTGATCCCAATGACCACATCCTGCTCCATCCCTGGTCCCAGTGACCCCCCCAGTGACCCCCCGCCGTGTCCACCCCGTGTCCGGCCCCATCCCTGGTCCCAGTGACCCCAGTGACCCCCCCATGGGACCCACCCGTGTCCTGCCCCATCCCTGGTCCCAGTGACCCCCCAGTGACCCCCCCATGGGACCCACCCATGTCCTGCTCCATCCCTGGTCCCAGTGACCCCAGTGACCCCCATGTCCCCCTCCATCCCTGGTCCCAATGACCACATCCTGCTCCATCCCTGGTCCCAGTGACCCCCAGTGACCCCCCGTGAACCCCCATGTCCCCCAAGGACCCACCCGTGTCCTGCTCCATCCCTGGTTCTCAGGACCACATCCTGCTCCATCCCTGCTCCCAGTGACCCCCAGTGACCCCCGTGTCCCCCCGTGTCCCCCAGGGCGGTGTCCTCCGTGGAGCTGCAGATGTCGGAGCACCAGGGGCTGCTTGGGAGATGCAATCCCCAGCCCCCGTGTCCCCCTCCATCCCAGTGACCCCCAGTGACCCCCAGTGACCCCCGTGTCCCCCTGTGTCCCCCAGGGCGGTGTCGTCGGTGGAGCTGCAGATGTCGGAGCACCAGGGGCTGAGTGGGGAGATTCAATGCCCCCGTGTCCCCCGTGTCCCCCTCCATCCCAGTGACCCCAATGACCCCCAGTGACCCTAATGACCCCCAGTGACCCCCGTGTCCCCCTGTGTCCCCCAGGGCGGTGTCGTCGGTGGAGCTGCAGATGTCGGAGCACCAGGCACTGCTTGGGGACATTCAATGCCCCCTGTGTCCCCCGTGTCCCCCTCCATCCCAGTGACCCCCAGTGACCCCCAGTGACCCCCAGTGGCCCCCGTGTGCCCCCAGGGCGGTGTCCTCCGTGGAGCTGCAGATGTCGGAGCACCAGGCACTGCTTGGGGACATTCAATCCCCACCCCCGTGTCCCCCTGTGTCCTGCTCCATCCCTGGTCCCAGTGACCCCCCAGTGACCCCCTGTGCCCCCGTGTCCCCCAGGGCGGTGTCGTCGGTGGAGCTGCAGATGTCGGAGCACCAGGCCCTGAGGGCGGAGATGGAGTCGCGGGCTCCGGGCGTGGCCTCGTGCCTGGAGCTGGGCAAGAGCCTCGTGCTGGCCAAGAGCCCCGCCAGCGACGAGGTGGGGGTTTGGGGGTGGGGGGCAGGTTGGGGGCCTGGGGGAGTAATTTAGGTGGGGGGGCAATTTGGGGGATTTTGGAGGATTGGGGGCGATTTTGGAGGATTGGGAGCAATTTTGGGGCATGGGGGCAATTTGGGAGGGAAATTTGGAGGATTGGGGGCAATTTGGGGGTCTGGGGGCAATTGGGGGAATTTTGGAGGATTGGGGACGATTTTGGGGTGGGAGGGGGTAATTTTGGGGCATGGGGGCAATTTGGGGAATTTTGGAGGATTGGGGGCAATTTTGGGGTGGGGGGAAATTCTGGGGGTGAGGGGGAATTTTGGGGAGTGGAGGGCAATTTTGGGGGATGGGGGAAATTTTGCGGGGGGTGGGGAAATCTGGGATGGGGGGGCAATTTTGGGGGTGGGGAAATTCTGGGATCTGGGGTGGTCAATTTTGGGATCCCCCGCAGATCAAATCCCACATGGAGAAGCTGCTGGAGAAGAAGAAGGAGATGACGGAAAAGTGGGAAAAGCACTGGGAGTGGCTCCAGCAGAGTCAGTTCCTGATGGGAATGGGGTGGGATGGGATGGGATGGGATGGGATGGGATGGGATGGGATGGGATGGGATGGGAGGGGATGGGATGGGATGGGAGGGGATGGGATGGATTGGGATGGGATGGAGGGGATGGATGGGATGGGATGGGATGGGATGGGATGGGATGGGATGGGATTGATGATGGGATGGGATGGGATGGGGTGGGATGGGATGGGATGGGATGGGATGGGATTGATGATGGGATGGAGATGGGATGGGATGGGATGGGATGGGATGGGGTAGAGATGGAGATAGAGATGGGATGGGATGGGATGGGGTGGGATGGGATGGGATGGGATGGGTGGGATGGGATAGGGTGGGATGGGATGAGATAGGATTGATGGAGATGGGATGGGATGGGATGGGATGGAGATGGGATGGGATGGGATGAGATGGAGATGAGATGGGATTGATGGGATGGGATGGGATGGGATGAGATGGGATGGGATGGGATGGGATGGGATGGGATGGGATAGAGATGATAGGGATGGAGCAGGGATGGGATGGAGCTGAAGAAATGATGGAGACAGACGTTGCTGGACATGCCAATGGGGTGGGGATGGGATGGGGATGATGGAGCTGCCATTGATGGGGATGAAACTGTAATGGAGATGAAGCAGGGATGGGATAGGATGGAACAGGGATGGGGATGGAGCAGGGATGGGATGGGCATGGAGCAGTGATGGGATGGGGATGGAGCAGGGATGGGATGGAGCTGATGGCAGTGATGGAGATGGAGCAGGGATGGGATGGGGATGGAGCAAGGATGGGATGGGGATGGAGCAGGGATGGGATGGAGCTGATGGCAGTGATGGGATGGGGATGGAGCAGGGATGGGATGGGGATGGAGATGATGGGGATGAGATGGGGATGGAGCAGGGATGGGATGGAGCAGGGATGGGATGGAGATGGAGATGATGGGGATGAGATGGGGATGCAGATGGAGCAGGAATGGGGATGGAGCAGGGATGGGATGGAGCAGGGATGGGATGGAGATGATGAGGATGAGATAGGGATGGGAATGGGATGGGATGGGAATGAGATGATGGGGATAGAGATGGGGATGGAGATGGGATGGATGGGATGGGATGGGATGGGATGGGATGGGATGGGATGGGATGGGATGGGATGGGATTGATGGGATGGGATGGGATGGGATGGGATGGGATGGGATGGGATGGGATGGGATGGATGGGATGGGATGGGATGGATGGATGGATGATGGGATGGGATGAGATGGAGATGGGATAGGATGGGATGAGATGGGATGGGATGAGATAGGATGGGATGGGATGGGATGGGATGGAATGATGGAGATGGAGCAGGGATGGGATGGAGCTGAAGGAAATGATGGAGACGACGTTGCTGGAGATGCCAGTGGGGTGGGGATGGGATGGGGATGATGGGGATGAGATGGGGATGGAGATGGAGCAGGGATGGGGATGGAGCAGGGATGGGATGGAGCTGAAGGAAATGATGGAGACAGACGTTGCTGGAGATGCCAATGGGTGGGGATGGGATGGGGATGATGGAGCTGCCATTGATGGGGATGAAACTGTAATGGAGATGAAGCAGGGATGGGATAGGATGGAACAGGGATGGGGATGGAGCAGGGATGGGATGGGCATGGAGCAGTGATGGGATGGGGATGGAGCAGGGATGGGATGGAGCTGATGGCAGTGATGGAGATGGAGCAGGATGGGATGGGGATGGAGCAAGGATGGGATGGGATGGAGCAGGATGGATGGAGCTGATGGCAGTGATGGAGATGGAGCAGGGATGGGATGGGATGGATGCAGGATGGATGGGATGAGAGATGGGATGGATGCAGATGGGATGAGATGGAGCAGGATGGGATGGGGATGGAGATGATGGGGATGAGATGGGGATGCAGATGGAGCAGGATGGGATGGAGCAGGATGGGATGGAGCATGATGGGATGAGGATGAGATGGGCATGGATGGAGATGGATGGGATGGAGCAGGGATGGGATGGGATGGGATGGGGATGGATAGGATGGGATTGATGGGATGGGATGGGATGGGATGGGGATGGGATGGGATGGATGGGATGGGATTGGATGGATGATGGGATGGGATGGGATGGGATGGGATGGGATGGGATGGGATGGGATGGATGGGATGGGATGGATGGGATGGGATGGATGGGATGGATGGATGGGATGGGATGGGGATGGGGATGGAGATGGGATGGGATGATGGATGGGATGGGATGGGATGGGATGGGATGGAGATGATGGGATGGAGCAGGGATGGGATGGAGCTGAAGGAATGGATGGAGACGACGCATTGCTGGAGATGCCAGTGGGTGGGATGGGATGGGATGATGGGGATAGATGGGATGGAGATGGAGCAGGGATGGGATGGAGCAGGATGGGATGGAGCTGAAGGAAATGATGGAGACGACGTGATGAGATGCCAATGGGGTGGGATGGGATGGGATGATGGAGCTGCATGATGGGGATGAAACTGTGATGGAGATGAAGCAGGATGGGATAGGGATGGAAACAGGATGGGGATGGAACAGGGATGGGATGGGCATGGAGCAGTGATGGGATGGGATGGACAGAGGATGGGATGGAGCTGATGGCAGTGATGGAGATGGAGCAGGGATGGGATGGGGATGGAGCAAGGATGGGATGGGGATGGAGCAGGGATGGGATGGAGCTGATGGCAGTGATGGGATGGGGATGGAGCAGGGATGGGATGGGGATGGAGATGATGGGGATGAGATGGGGATGGAGCAGGGATGGGATGGAGCAGGGATGGGATGGAGATGGAGATGATGGGGATGAGATGGGGATGCAGATGGAGCAGGAATGGGGATGGAGCAGGGATGGGATGGAGCAGGGATGGGATGGAGATGATGGGGATGAGATAGGGATGGGAATGGGATGGGATGGGATGGGATGGGATGGGATTGATGGGATGGGATGGGATGGGATGGGATGGGATGGGATGGGATGGGATGGGATTGATGGGATGGGATGGGATGGGATGGGATGGGATGGGATGGGATGGGATGGGATGGGATGGATGGGATGGGATGGGATGGGATGGATGGGATGGGGTGGGATGGGATGGGATGGGATGGGATGGGATGGGATGGGATGGGATGGGATGGGATGGGATGGGATGGGATGGGATGGAGATGATGGGGATGGAGCAGGGATGGGATGGAGCTGAAGGAAATGATGGAGACGACGTTGCTGGACATGCCAGTGGGGTGGGGATGGGATGGGGATGATGGGGATGAGATGGGGATGGAGATGGAGCAGGGATGGGGATGGAGCAGGGATGGGATGGAGCTGAAGGAAATGATGGAGACGACGTTGCTGGACATGCCAATGGGGTGGGGATGGGATGGGGATGATGGAGCTGCCATTGATGGGGATGAAACTGTAATGGAGATGAAGCAGGGATGGGATAGGATGGAACAGGGATGGGGATGGAGCAGGGATGGGATGGGCATGGAGCAGTGATGGGATGGGGATGGAGCAGGGATGGGATGGAGCTGATGGCAGTGATGGAGATGGAGCAGGGATGGGATGGGGATGGAGCAAGGATGGGATGGGGATGGAGCAGGGATGGGATGGAGCTGATGGCAGTGATGGAGATGGAGCAGGGATGGGATGGGGATGGAGCAGGGATGGGATGGAGCTGATGGCAGTGATGGAGATGGAGCAGGGATGGGATGGGGATGGAGCAGGGATGGGATGGGGATGGAGATGATGGGGATGAGATGGGGATGGAGCAGGGATGGGATGGAGCAGGGATGGGATGGAGATGATGGGGATGAGATGGCGATGGAGACGGAGCAGTGATGGGGATGGAGCAGGGATGGGAATGGAGATGATGGAGATGACCGAGACAGCGGAGATGACGGAGACAACATTCCTGGAGACACAACTGGGGTGGGGACGGGATGGGGATGGGATGGGGATGGTCCTGACATCCCCGACATCCCTGCGACGGCGCCGCTGCCGTGGCCGTGACGTGTCCCCCCGTGCCCCCTCATGTCCCCCTCATGTCCCCTCCGTGTCCCCTCATGTCCCCTCATGTCCCCCCGTCCCCCCAGTGCGGGAGGTTCACCAGTTTGCGCAGGAGGCCGTGGTGGCCGACGCGTGGCTGACGGCGCAGGAGCCGCTGGTGCGGAGCCAGGAGCTGGGCAGCAGCGTGGACGAGGTGGAGCAGCTCATCCGGCGCCACGAGGCCTTCCGCAAAGCGGCGGCCGCCTGGGAGGAGAGGTTCAGCTCCCTCAGGAGACTCACCACGGTAACCATCCCATTGTATCCATCATTTCCATCATATCCATCCCATCTCCATCATCTCCCGCCTGGGAGGAGAGGTTCAGCTCCCTGAGGAGACTCACCACGGTAACCACCCCATCCCATCCCATCATATCCATCATATCCATCCCATCCCATCATATCCATCATCTCCATCATCTCCCGCCTGGGAGGAGAGGTTCAGCTCCCTGAGGAGACTCACCACGGTAACCATCCCATTGTATCCATCATATCCATCATCTTCATCCCATCCCATCCATCATCTCCATCCCATCCCATCCCATCCCATCCCATCCCATCCCATCTCCATCATCTCCTGCCTGGGAGGAGAGGTTCAGCTCCCTGAGGAGACTCACCACGGTAACCACCCCATCATATCCATCATCTCCATCATCCCTGTGCTCATCTCCATCCCATCCCATCCCATCCCATCTCCATCATCTCCCGCCTGGGAGGAGAGGTTCAGCTCCCTGAGGAGACTCACCACGGTAACCATCCCATTGTATCCATCATCTCCATCATCCCTGTGCTCATCTCCATCCCATCCCATCCCATCCCATCATAACCATCCCATCATATCCATCATCTCCATCCCATCCCATCCCATCCCATGCCATCATATCCATCATATCCATCATCTCCATCCCATCCCATCCCATCCCATCTCCATCATCTCCTGCCTGGGAGGAGAGGTTCAGCTCCCTGAGGAGACTCACCATGGTAACCATCCCATCATCTCCATCATATCCATCCCATCCCATCATATCCATCATATCCATCATATCCATCATATCCATCCCATCCCATCCCATCCCATCCCATCTCCATCATCTCCCGCCTGGGAGGAGAGGTTCAGCTCCCTGAGGAGACTCACCACGGTAAACATCCCATCCCATCATATCCATCATGTCCATCCCATCCCATCCCATCCCATCATATCCATCATCTCCATCCCATCCCATCCCATCCCACCCCATCCCATCTCCATCCCAGTTACCCCAACCCCACAACCCTCAACTCCCCCCCAAATCCTCCAACTCCCCCCAAATCCCCCAAATCCTCCCAAGCCCCCCAAACTTCCCCAATCCCCCAGATCCACCAAACTCCCCAATCCCCAAATCCCCTAATCCCCCAAAGTCCCCAACCCACCCGCATCCCCACAACTACTCCCAACCCCCAACCCACAACTACCTCCCAATCCTCCCAGCTCCCCAATCCCCCAAACCCCAACTCCCCCAACCTCCCCAAATCCCCCAAATCCCCCAAACTCCCCCAATCCCCAAATCCCCTAATCCTCCAAACTCCCAACCCCCCAAAACCCCAAACTCCCCCCAACCTCTCCAAATCCCCCAAGCCCCCAAACTTCCCCAATCCCCAGATCCCCCAAACTCCCCAAATCCCCTAATCCCCCAACCTCCCCAACCCACCTGACCCCCACAACCCCCTGCAACTCCCCAAATCCCCCAAGCCCTCAAACTGCCCCAATCCCCAAATCTCCCAATCCCCCCAAACCCTAACTCACCCGACCTCCACAACTCCCCAAACCCCCAACCCCACAACTCCCCCAACCTCCCCAAATCCCCCAAGCCCCTCAAACTGCCCCAATCCCCAAATCCCCAATCCCCCCAAATCCCCCAAACTCCCCAGTTCCCCCAATCCCCAGTTCCCCATCTCCACAACCCCCAAACCTCCAGCTCCTCAATCTCTCCCAAACCCTCAACTCCCCAATCTCCCAAATCCCCCAAATCCCCCAAACTCCTCCCAATCCCCAAATCTCCTAATCCCTCAAACTCTCTAACCCCCCGACCCTACAACTCCCAACCCTCAAATCCCTCAACCTTCCACAACCCCAGCTCCTCAATCCCCCAAACCCCCAAATCCCCAACCTCCTCAAATCTCCCAAGCCCCTCAAACTGCCCCAACTCCAAATCCCTCAAACCCCCAAACTCCCAATCTCCAAATCCTCCAATCCCTCAACCCCCGACCCCCAACCCCTCAAATCCCTCAACCTTCCCAAACCCCCAAAGCCCCTTCAACGCCCCCTGAGCCGTTCCCCGTGCCCGCAGCTGGAGAAGCTCCGCGCCGAGCAGAACCAGCAGCCTCCGACGCCCCTCCTGACCCGCAAGTTCCTGGGAGGGACCCCAGGGTGCCCCCTCGCCCTCCTCGTCCCCGGGGTGCCCCTCCCCAGGAGGAGGGGGTGGGGTCCCTCCCCTCCCACGGCGGGGAGCCCTGCGTGGCCACCGTGGCCACCGTGAGGCACGAGCTGCGCCCCGAGCGCCTCCGGCCCCGCCTCGACCGCCTGCACGACCCCCCAACCCCGGGGCCGCCTCCGACACCGCCGGGGAGCCCTCGGCACCCTCCGGCACCCCGAGCCGAGGAGGGGCCTGAGGGGAGGAGGAGGAGAAGGGAGCGGCGGGAGCGGCGCCTGGGCGGCAGGAATCGAGCGAGCCCGAGGGGGACCCCGGCACGACGGGAAGGGAGCGGGGTGAGGGGACATGGAGGGGTTCAGGGGGTCAGGGGACGACTGAGGGTCAATGGGGGTCAGGGGACGATGGGGGTCAGGAGTGGTGAAAGGTGAGGGGCTGTGGGGAGGGGGCGCCTGAGCGGCAGGAATCGAGGCGAGCCTGAGGGGGACCCCGGCACGACGGGAAGGGAGCGGGGTGAGGGGACATGGGGGTCAGGGGGTCAATGGGGAGTCAGGGGGCGATGGGGGTCAGGGGGATCAATGGAGGGGTCGGGGGGTCAATGGAGGGGTCAGGGGGTCAATGGAGGGGTCGAGGTCAATGGAGGGTCAGGGGGGTCAAGTGGAGGGTCAGGGGGGTCAATAGGGGGTCAGGGGGTCAATGGGGGGTCAATGGAGGGGTCAATGGGGGGTCAGGGGGTCAATGGAGGGGTCAGGGGGTCAATGGAGGGGTCGGGGAGTCAATAGGGGGTCAGGGGGTCAATGGGGGTCAATGGAGGGGTCAATAGGGGGTCAGGGGGTCAATGGGGGGTCAATGGAGGGGTCAATAGGGGTTCAGGGGTCAATGGGGGGTCGGGGAGTCAATGGGGGGTCAGGAGGGGTCAATGGAGGGGCCGGCGTGGCACAATGGGAAGGGAGCAGGGTGAGAGGGGGCAGGGGGAGATGGGGGTCAATGGGGGGTCGCGAGGGGTCAATGGAGGTCGGGGGTTGGTGGAAGGATAGAGGGTGAGGGGGTGGGGGGAGGACATGGGGGTCAGAGGGGGTCAGTGGGGGTCTGGGGTTGGTGAAAGGCCGGGGGTGAGAGGGCAGGGGGACAATGGGGGGTCAGAGGGGGTCAATGGGGGTCGGGGGTTGGTGAAAGGCCGGGGGTGAGGCGGGGGGGGACAATGGGAGAGTCAGGGGTCGCTGGAAGGGCAGGGGGTCAATGGGAGGGTTGGGGGTCGCTGGAAGGGCAGAGGGTGAGGGGGTGGGGGACAATGGGGGACAATGGGTGGGTCGAGGGGTTGATGGAAAGGGGGACGGTGGGGGACAACGGGGGACAATGGGTGGGTCGAGGGGGTTGATGGAAAGGGGACGGTGGGGGGACAATAGGGGGCTTTAGGGGTCAGGGGGTTGGTGACAGGGCAGGGTGACCCGAAATATCCCCCATCAGCAGCAAGGGCAGAGGGTGAGGGGTGAGGGGACAATGGGGGTCAATGGGGGCTTTGAGGGGTCAGGGGGTTGGTGACAGGGCGGGGTGACTCGAAATATCCCCCATCAGCAGCAAGGGCAGAGGGCGAGGGGTGGGGGACAATGGGGGGTCAATGGGGGGCTTTGGGGGTCAGGGGTTGATGGCAGGGCGGGGTGACCCTGAAATGTCCCCCATCAGCAGCAAGGGCAGAGGGTGAGGGGGTGGGGGACAATGGGGGTCGGGGGATTGGTGGCAGGGCGGGGTGACCTCGAAATGTCCCCCATCAGCAGCAAGGGCAGAGGGTGAGGGGGTGGGGGACGATGGGGGGTGATGGGGGTCGGGGGATTGGTGGCAGGGCAGGGTGACCCGAAATGTCCCCCATCAGCAGCAAGGGCAGAGGGTGAGGGGGTGGGGGACAATGGGGGTCAGGAGGATCAGGGGTTGGGGAAGGCAGGGGGTGGGAGGGGCAAGGTGGACAATGGGGAGTCAGTGGGGGGCTTTGGGGGGTCGGGGTTGGTGGCAGGGCGGGGGTGACCCCGAAATGCCCCCCCCATCAGCAGCAAAGCCACCCTGGCTGACATCGTGGAGCAGCTGCAGGAGAAGGAGGCGGCAGGGCCCGGCCAGGCCTCGGTGAGCGATGGGAGTGGCCCCTGCTGTCACCTTGGTGTCCCCTTGGTGTCACCTGATGTCCCCTGCTATCCCCTGGTGTCCCCTGGTGTCCCCTGGTGTCACCTTGGTGTCCCCTGGTGTCCCCTGGTGTCACCTTGGTGTGCCCTGGTGTCACCTGGTGTGCCCTGGTGTCACCTTGGTGTCCCCTGCTGTCCCCTGGTGTCACCTGGTGTGCCCTGGTGTCACCTTGGTGTCCCCTGCTGTCCCCTGGTGTCACTTTGGTGTCCCCTGGTGTCACCTTGGTGTCCCCTGGTGTCACCTGATGTCCCCTGGTGTCCCCCTGGTGTCCCCTGGTGTCACCTGGTGTCACCTGGTGTGCCCTGGTGTCACCTTGGTGTGCCCTGGTGTCCCCTGTGTCCCCTGGTGTCACCTTAGTGTGGCCCTGGTGTCACCTGGTGTCACCTGCTGTCATCTTGGTGTGCCCTGCTGTCCCCTGCTGTCACCTGGTGTCACTTTGGTGTCCCCTGGTGTCCCCTGGTGTCACCTTGGTGTCCCTTGGTGTCCCCTGGTGTGCCCCTGCTGTCCCCTTGGTGTCCCCTGGTGTCACCTTGGTGTGCCCTGCTGTCCCCTGGTGTCACCTTGGTGTGCCCTGGTGTCACCTTGGTGTGCCCTGGTGTCACTTTGGTGTCCCCTGGTGTCCCCTGGTGTCCCCTGCTGTCCCCTGGTGTCACCTTGGTGTCCCCTGGTGTGCCCTGCTGTCCCCTGCTGTCCCCTGGTGTGCCCTGGTGTCCCCTGGCATCACTTGGTGTCCCCTGGCATCACCTGGTGTGCCCTACTGTCCCCTGGTGTCACCTTGGTGTCCCCTTGGTGTCACCTTGGTGTCCCCTGGTGTCCCCTGGTGTCACCTTGGTGTCCCCTGGCATCACCTGCTGTCCCCTGGTGTCCCCTTGTGTCACCTGGTGTCCCCTGGTGTCCCCTGGTGTCACCTGCTGTCACCTGGTGTCCCCTTGTGTCACCTTGGTGTGCCCTACTGTCCCCTGGTGTCACCGTGGTGTCCCCTGGTGTGACCTTGGTGTACCCCTGGTGTCCTCTGGTGTCCCCTGGTGTCCCCTGGTGTCACCTTGGTGTACCCCTGGTGTCCCCTGGTGTACCCCTGGTGTCCCCTGGTGTCACCTTGGTGTGCCCTACTGTCCCCTGGTGTCACCGTGGTGTCCCCTGGTGTGACCTTGGTGTACCCCTGGTGTCCTCTGGTGTCCCCTGGTGTCCCCTGGTGTCACCTTGGTGTACCCCTGGTGTCCTCTGGTGTCCCCCTGGTGTCCCCTGGTGTCCCCTGGTGTCACCTTGGTGTCCCCCTCAGTGTCCTCTTGGAGCCCCCTGGGAACCCCCTTGGTGTCCCCTCGGTGTCCCCTTGGAACCCCATGCCCCTCCCACCCACTCTACGACCCCATGGTTCCCCTCCACGCCCCCTCCCACCCCTTCTACGACCCCCAGACCCCCCCGACCCTCAGAACACCCCCATGTGCCTCCCCCAGCCCGGGATCGAGGACCCCTCCACCCCCAACCCCCAGGATCGGGACTGGGGATTCTGGGACCAGGATT